AGCTGCTGTCTGACGACATGGCAGGGGGTTAAAGGGAAGAGATCTGCTGTTCTCAATCTACTGCCTGGCTCAGTAAAAACACCAAAGCATGTTATAACTGCTGCCAGCCCTGTTTATTTAACAGACCCTGTGTGCACCAGGATCTCTTCGCATCTTCACATCAAGGTGGTGAACCATATGGGTCTGCAGTGCTGCTGGCAGCCACAGGCAGCAGCAACCACAGCCAGCAATCACCTAGACTGAGAATCTCTTCTCTCCAAGGGCTTGTACCTGAATTTCAGGTGCTTTATAGCAGGGCGACCGCCAAGGCAAGCCCTGTTGTGATGCTCACCATCACTCCTCTCTGTTTCCCTTCTAACCACGCATGGATCCGGCAGCACGTTTCCTGGAAGATGCTCTAGCAATTACATTACCACTGATCTCTCTGAGCAGGCTCTGCTATTAGCTGAGGCTGTTAGCAGGGCTGTGGGGAGCTCAGCGTGGTGGAGATGAAAATATGCTCAGGAACAGAAACGCTCTGTGGCCACCCCAGCTGTTCTGGGCTGCTGGCCAGGCTCCTTGGGATGGATTAATGACAATAATGACGGCTATCCTTTCAAATGGAGAGCTAATCCGCAGCAAGCAGGGCTCTCGACTTGCTGATTCACTCTCCAATGGATAAACTGGGACGCTCTGTGCATGATGAGACCAAGCAGGGTGCACAGGGAAAGGTGCTGCTGTGAAAAGCTGGGCAGTTTGTGGTGGGGCTATGTGGATGTGTCAGCACTTCCACTAGAAGCTCTCCTCCCTGGATGAGCTGATAGCCCAGTGATGCAGAAATGATCCCCTATAAAACCTGCACAGTGCAGGAGTTAAGGAAGACTTGTTGTATGGTGACCTTGACAACAGGTAGCAGCAGTTGTAGTGTTTTACCTGTCTGCTCAATAGAGAGATTGAAAAGCACCCTTCACTTGGCAAGTGGGAGTAGGCAGAGGTAATGCTGCTCCCCAGGGAGCAGAGGTTATTGCTTGCTTTGATTGTTATGGAAAGGCTTGTAGAAACCAGTGTACAATGTTCCATTTTGCATAGGGATTTGGCTATAGTTTAGCATGGGAAAACGCATCCAGCTTGGAGAGGCTGGGGCGGGCGGCCAGTGGGATAAGGAGATTCCATAGTGAATCTGGTGCTTGCAGCCATGCAAACTGCTTTCCCCATAACGATGCAAAAGAGCAGGTGAACATTCATACTTTCCCCTGCCTTTCAAAACCTATGTCCACCAGTGGAAGATGTTTTGTGGTGAAAGCACTCAGTTGAGGAACCAGAGTCTGTTCCTGCCCCTGCAACAGAGTTAGGTCCTTTGTCCGGTGTGAGTGTGGCTGAGATGGACTTGGGCTTTGTGGAGGTTGGTGTCCCCAGTGCAACAGTCTTTGCTGGGATGTGAGCAGATGGAGCAGTTTGGTGCCTTCTGGGAAAATAGTCAGGCCCAACCTCAGGGAAGGGCCATCAGGCTGGGGCTTGGTGTGAAACCATCAGGTACCCAGAGCCTGAGACACATCCTGGTGTCATTTCCAGCTCCTCATTTCTCGGGTATTCGTAGTGGTGTTAGTACAAGAACATGACATCCAACAAAATGCATTTTTTGACCTAATACCTGTTTTATAGGGGGAAAACCCAAACCAGTTCAATTGAAGCCAGTGGGACAGGCTTCACTGCAGATGGCCATTACTCCGCTAGTGACATTCCTGGTGTGGTAATGCTCACTGTGGCCATGAAGAACAGCTCTAGGTCTCACTTGCCTTTGTGCTGACATTAACCTTAATGAGGTAAAAATTGTCTCCTCTGGCCTTGTTCCAGCCATTCAGTTTGCACTGAGCTTATGTGCTCCATGCCATGGGCAGCCTCTGGGATAACAGAGCTCATGGCAAGGGCTGGAGAGTCCAGAGCGAGGGGGATGTGGCTGATGTGTTTGCTTTGGTGTCAAACCCCCTTGGGCCTGACCCTGCAGACTGGCTTATGTTAAGGCTGAGCTGCCCCAGCCCTGTGTGTTGGGCTGGGGTCTGCTTGGTTGGTTCATGAGGAGAACTAGGGATGCCCCAGGCAGATGTCAAGGTTGCTGCACGTTAATGCTGTTGAGATGTTGGCTATAAACCCCAGCTGTACCCACGTGAAGCTGAGAAAAGACCAGAGGTGGGTGGAAGAAGAGCCAGAGCCTGTGGTTAAGGATAGGACAGAATAGGAAATGCTGTGTTTAACCCTTACATGACAGCATGTTGTTTGTGAAAGCAGCTCAGTTGTTCCCTGGATGGCGTAAATTAACCTTCTTAAAGCAGCTACTCCTGTAAGCCTCAGTTTCTCCTATTGCTACAGTCAGGAGCACAGCACTGGGCTCTCTCCCCTTATGTTGTGATACAGCCCCTCTCCTAGATGGAAACACATCCCTGAGTTCTTTTCTCTCCTGCAGTTTCCTGCTGCTTTCCCAGCTGGTCTTTCACTCTTTGGTCTTCACACATATCCCTCCATCCCTTAGCCTTACCCAAGCCTGTGCTCGTGTTCCTGCAGCTCAGAAGGTGCTGGTGGCACCCCTGGGAGCAGCTTATTGACAGTTTTGAGCACTAAGATGCCCATGTGCTGAGCACTGTACCCCAGGGATATGCAGGGATCAGGGATATACAGAGATTTTCTCCTGTATTTCCCAACAACTTGGTCTCTTTTCCTGAAGCAGAACAGGCTGAGACTGGTACAAGCTCTCTGGAAAGAAGCAGCAGAGCCAAGAAGCAGAGAGGGAGCCCTGCCTGGGAGGGACAGTCCCACAGTGAACTTCTGCTCCTGATCCCTCCTCCTGCAGGGAGGAGAAACCTTTCCTCACAGCTATGTCAGAAGAGGGATGTGCTGAGGAACAGTTTCACTGATTCAAACAGACAGGGTTTGGACAATTACCAAATGAGTTCTGGTGATGAATAAGCACTTTTGCCTTGGAAAACTTCTTCCCCCTCCCTGTAGCAGTGCAGTTCTCCAACACTAATGGCCACATTGCCTGGATTCCAGGCGAGCCACCTCGCCTTCCCTCCCCATCCCTTTTGTGCACCATTGCCCAGGGCTGACACAGCTTTCCTTGGGAATGGAGGTCTCCTGGGGGCTATGGATGCCTTACCATGGGCAGAAGGACACTGCAAGCTCCCAGTCAGAAGCCACTGCATGTTTACTAACACTTGGTGGGTTGCACCTCTGGTCTTGTGGCTGGTGACAAGTTGGGGCCAGACTGAATGCAGCTTCTTTCATAGTTTGACTGAGGTCATCTTAGATGGGGTTGTGTCGCCTGCTCCTTTCCTTTGTGGCAAACCAGGGCTTTCCCATTGATGTCAGTGAGGATGTGGGTATCTCAACAGCATCAGGACCAGTATCTCCCGTCCCGGGCTCTTCCCTGACCCACCAGGATGACTGATCTCCCTCATGTGCAACCTCTGGCCATAAAGGAGCCACTCTGCCTCTCTGCAGCATCCCACTGCTGTTTTCCAGACATAGGATCATAGAATCGACCAGGTTGGAAAAGGCCTTTAAGATCACCAACTCCAACCTTTATGCCAGCATTGCCAAGTCCACCACTAAACCATGTCACCAATATACTGCAGAAAGTTTGCTGGGGCTGGTTGATTTGTAAAGGTGTTTCCTGGGGCTTTCAGGCTCCAGCTTTTTCATCTCTTCTCTATTACTTTTGCCTCTTTACTTTTATATATTTGGGGGTTTTCTGCATCTGAGGACTGAAAGGGTGATTCCCAGCTGGGGAAAGCTTTCAAGGACATAATCCAGGCCTTTAGAAAAAGCTGTCATTACACATCTACATGCAGCTTCCCCTCAAAGATGTAACGGGCATTGCATTAAGAGACAGGGTAAAGCAGAATATCCATAGAGCAATACAGCTCTCATCATACAGAGGCTAAAAATGGGCAGGAAAACACTCTCAAGAGTCAGCCCCTGCCGCAAGTCCCAGCCGATAATTGTTGTTTTGTGGCATGCCTTGAGCATTAATGTTCAGGGATATTTTGGAGCGGGAACTGGAACTGATCCCAGTGTGCTGTAGCCTTCGTGAGAACTCCTGGCAATACTTGCAAGTCCCACCGAGCTGCCTTCCCATGGGGAAGACTGGTGAGGACACCAGGATGCATGTGTGGGTACGTCCCTCTGTCCTGGGCTGGACGGGGCTCCACAAGGACCCAGCCCACATGGTTCATTCACCACAGGGGCACGGAGCCAAATGCCAGAGGTTTTCTCTCTGAAATGCAATCTCCTTATGAAACGTGGTTTGTGTGATGGGGGATTGGTTTTCCTGCTGTGACTGGCCAAATGGCAGGGTTTGACCTAGGCGGTGGGCTGTGAGCAGAGGAGGAAAAGGGGTAAACAGCATGGACTTACCAAGTGCCTCCTCTGTCCTTGCCCTTTGGTGAAGAGATTTCTGCACCAAATGTTCTGGACTCTCACTTTATATTAAATGGAAAGAAAAACGTGCATCTAAATCTCAAACACAGGCTCCTTAGTGCCTAAATCACTTCCGAAAGCGGGTCTGAGGTGGTTCTGTCGCTGTTGGTGTGACTTATTTTCCTTTCCTTTGCTGCAAGGCTTGGGTGGCTCTGCAGAGATGGCGAGCAGGCACCTCCACCCTGAGGCAGGTAAAAACCTCATCTTTGGATGGGATGAAGCGGGGGATGAATGCCCCACTTGGATGCTGTGTTTTTTAATCCTATGTGAAACAAGGAACTCGATTCTGGCCAGCGGTTACATCCAAACACAGGCTGTTTCAGGAGCTGCCCCTGAGAACATCCCCGGTTTTGCTCAGTGGAAAATTCATTAGCAACATGTGATGAATGGGGCTCTGTTATGACACAAACTGCTCAGACACCAGCAAACCCCCTTTGGGTTATATAGGATTTCATGGCTCTACATCAACATCCAGAGGGCGAGCGAGCAGGCGGGTGGTGCTGTCAGCTCTGCCCCTGCCTTTGCTGCTTTTCCTGTTACCCTTTTAGACTTCCTGAAGTGCTCGTTGCTGCGGCAGCGAGGGCAGTTTGAGCTGCAGTTTGTGAATGAGCACTTTGGTGAGGCAGGAGAGCCCAGGCAGGCTGTGCATGGGCAGTCCATCCAGTTTGGTTCTTGCTTTGGGCTTTGACCTTGTGTCTCCAGTTTTTCCTTGCAGATTCCAACTAACTTGGATAATTTTTCCTTTTTCCCAAGCTTTTTTGTCACCCCCCCCCCCCCCCCCCCACCGCCCGCCCTCCGAAAGCCCAGACCTGCTCCGATCCGGGGAACAGAAGGCGGGGTCTGAATTCTTTACTCTTTCAAACAATTAGTTTCATATTGACTCAAGCGCAAATATGCTCTCTGCAATCCAGTGTAAATACTGCGGAGCCAACAGCTCCTTCAAAGTGCTTTGCAGTGTTCAAATGAAGGACTAGACCCTGTGTCCTGCCCTGATGTGTGTGAGCAGCTACTCAAGCGGGTAACCCTGAAGCTACAGAACACCAGCCCAGTGTCAGAATAGGTCACTGGTGTAATTGCACTCATCAACTGAGCAAGGCTGACACATCAGCTGGAATAGAACATGAGAAATGAAGCTGTTTTCCCCCAGGGTGTGAGCTCTGCCTCTCACAGGGGACTGCTCAGGGCTGTGTCAACCTGCTTTGCTGGTAGTAGGTTTGTGTTTGTGTGCTGGGCTGCTCTTAGCAGCGTTTGGCCCTGGTTCTGGCAGCGCTGAGCGCGCCGGTCACGTTACCCCGACCTTCTCACATTGCAGGGCTTTTTTTTCCACTGGAAGCTATAAAAAGCCTGTAGTGAAACGCAAACCACAGTGTAGCCCCTGCCTGTGCTGCAGGGATGTTTCTTTTCCTTTATAAATGAAGCAGAGGATGAGGGGAAGGGATGTGTGTGGCGGTGGGAGGAGTGTGCATCAGAGGGGATGCTCTCAAGGCTGTGCTTGACTCCCGTGTCCCCCAGAGAACCATGTTTCCTTGTTTAGCAAAGTGCCTAAAGTTAGATAAACGTGCTCCACTGTGTCATTTAAGACCAAACTTCAAGTGTGACCCAAGCAGAGACCCTCAGAGGTGCTCCTGGGTGGATGTTTTCCAGCTGTGCTTCCCCAGGCATTGCTGGTTCAGGTTTGACTGTGTCTGCAAGGTATTTATGGGTAGGAGGGGTCCTGTGTGGGACAGTTTATCACGACTTCTAATGCTTTCCTCTTTTCCTTCCCCTCTGCTGATGTTTGTCCATTGCAGAGGTATGTGCAGGTGTTTGTGCTGTGGATCAGCTCCAGGAAGGTGATGGGAAACTCTCAGGACTCCTTAGCCCACTGGCTGTGAGAGCTCCCCGCTGTCTTGAGATGGCCATGGTGAGCTGGAGTGGGGGCAGCAGGCACATTTAGTAATGCAGAGCATGTAAGGAAGAGGGAGGATGCAGAGTGAGGTCTGTTGGTGGAAATAGCAATGGAGAATATAGGAATATGTGTCATGTCTTCCAAAGAGTGGCGGGATGCCTTGCCAAGTCCCATGAGTTCCCATGTATTTAAATTAGTGGTGTCTCTTGGAAATAAAACAACCCTAAAGTGGAATGGTTGACAAAGATGTTTTTACCTCTTTGGAAGATGTCAACTTCTCGATATCTCTCTGACCTGGAAATGTTTTTGTCCAGAAGGTTTCTGAGCTTGAGCAGATTGTTGGAGAGGGACACATGGACTGGTTAGACTGGCCTTGGGACAGGAGCTGTGCCCAGGCATACCCAGCTCTATGTCCTTCTTGCTGAGGTCTGCCATGGCCACATTGTCCTTCACTGTTTCTGGGAGGCAGGGTGAGAAAGCCTGAAAAGGTGCAAGATGTTCAAGATTTCGCCAGAAAGGCCGTGGAACAAAAGCAAATCTGGGAATCTCATTTTGGTCCCTCAAACTAGTTTCTCAAGCTGTCAGACTGCAACACTGTGAGGAGTCCTTACCCATGGCAGGGGGTTGGAACTAGATGACCTTAAGGTCCATTCCAATCCAAACCGTTCTACGAGTCTAGAACCAGATTTAGGAGGGGAGGACTGTAGGTCCCCCTGATCCACAGTGCTGGGGAGAGATAGTGATTGCCAGGGTAGGAGAGTCTCTTGGAGCAGCCTGGCTGGGTAATGCCCTGCCCTGAGGGAGGCTGTGCAGCATCCTCTCGTCTTCTTGTCTCAGCTCTTGTTTCTCCCTGGCTGGCAGGACATAGGTGCTGTGTTGGCAGATTATCCTCACTTCTCCTTTGCTCCCCGCTTTGCCCAGCGGTAACCCCTCGGTGGTGGCACGCTCCCCATTGCCCGGAGCACGCTGTACTCTGCTTGCAGCTGTTGTTCCAGCTGTGTCCTGCCAGCACAACCCAAGGCTCAGCCTCATGAATCACCGCCCGGCCCCATTGCATGGAATGAATTTAACTGTTGCCATCCATCGCAGGGAGACGTGACCTTTGAGGCGGCTTTGTAGGCGGGCAGCGATGCCCTGAGGGGAATGGCATGTCCTGCTGGCGTGTGCTGTGCCTTCTGGCTTCAAACCCCATGGACACTTCTTGCTGTTCCATTCCAAGCGTGGCCGAGGAAAACCTCTTGTCTGGCAGGGTAGGATTTATCTCTTCATCCTGCATAGGGCCGGGGCCAGCTGGGGTGAGAGATTATGGTGTGAGTTGTCCGCTGGGAAATGCGGAACACTGCATCTTGTGTGTTTCTGTACAGGCTTTTTGCTCAAAAGTAAGTCCTAGCCTCACTAAGACATGGGTCTCCTGTCCACAGTGACAATAATTTGCCTCTATATGTGGCCTTGGTCACATCCTTTGAGCATTACTAGCAGTAGCCTAGCTGTGTGGTGCCAGTGCTTGCTCCCCTGCGAACCTGCCTTCATGCTTGTCTCTTTTGTTAGTGGGTACCACCACAAGCCATCAGTCTAAAATCTGTCCCTAAACCAGAGGTCACATAGAAAATCCTGGTGACAATCAAATGGAAAAGATAGTAACTAAACATTCAAGAGATGTCACTTGGTATAGCTGGGTCATACAGCAGCCGCATAGGACTGACTGGGCTTCCAGCTGGAAAACCTGGGTTATACATGGGATACGGGAGTTTATTTAGGCAATAAATACTGATTCTTCAAGATGTACACATGGAATAGGGTGGATGCTTTCCACCCTTTTACCCCTGTTCTCTTTGAGAGGCTGAATCAGTACCTGCCGTGCCTTCACCAGCTTGCAGGTAGCCAGCCCCTCATTGCTGCATCGGCTCTTAAAGCCTAAGGCTTCAAAGGCTGGTTCCACACAAGCTGAGTCCCTGGTTTGTGTTCCACCTGTGCTCGTGTTCATGTATTTGATTTTTCTGCTTCTTTGGAAAGGGAGGAGAAGTGAATAACAAGCACTATGAAAGCTCTTGACACTTGGTGAGTTCGGAGAGATGGGAACATGCAACATGAATGCAAATATGTGGTTCTTGGTTGTAAGGACAAACCTGTGTGAACAGAGCACTCAGTGAAGTCTGGGATGGAAGTGAAAGATACCCTTTAATTAAACACCAGTGCTTTTCCACTGCAATTTAGATTTTGAAAAGGGTGTCTTCCATCAGTCATCTGAAGGTAAAGATGTTGCCTCCAGTGTTGCAGGATTTCCAATGGGCAGGTTGTGCTTCTGGGGCCACTTTTGGTGCTGGAAAAGTCCAGCTTTCTTTGAACCATGCTTTTTCTTTCCATCCCATCACTTTTGGGCTCTGTTTTTGTGTAGGACCTGGGCAATCTGGGGAAGGGGTGTGCATATGGGCAAAGCAGAGCTTGAAGGCCAGGGACAGAGCCTCAGAAATTGAGACCCACCTTACTTATGTCTTTTCACTTGTGGCACTCAAGGGCTTGTTGTCCCTCTATGCTCCACTAAACCTTTTCATCTGCTTTCTCTTTCTTTTTTCCTATCAAAGGCTTTGACTGGGTTGTCTGGAAATATCCCATCATGGTATGGGGGTTCTGGAGAAGTCCCCATATGCTTCAGGGGAGCTCCATATGGTAGATGTTCTGAGAGCCATTACTGAACCAGTTCCTCAGCATGGAGCTAGGGGGAGGTACCGTCTTTCAGATGAGATAAAATCAAAGTCCTTGTGACCCTTAAAAATTCCAAGATGCTTTTTGCTAGAATAGAGATGTTAAGACCATTTTTATGGCCAAATTCTAAATGCTCATACACCTTCCTTGTCATATGGTCCCAACTGTCAGTGTCCTGTAGCAGTATAAAATCTGTTACTTTTTCTCCACAGATGTCTGTGCTTTCTTTAGCACTGTGTGATTGTTGCAGAAAAGATGCTATATTCAGTATCTTTCAAGCAATTTGGAGACCTTTGAGATGAGAGGTATTCATTATATCAATGACAGCAGTAAGGGATTTTCATGGATGGGAGCAAGTGGTTCACTGAGGAGTTCCCTTCTGCGTCACCCACACGTGCTGCTCTAGTTCCTGCTTTGGCTTCTTTAAGTGAAAGGGTTGGTCTGACAGCAAAGAGGTTTAATAGAAATCCATCTTGAGGGGAACTCCCACACTAGTGTGGGATGGAGACACTGTACCAGGCACTGTGCTCTGTGCCTGCTTGTCTGAAAGGCAGGGAAGGCATGTTGTGGTGGCCAGTGCTGCCTGTAGGCAACTCCTTCCAATTCTGTTGTGGCCCTCTGAGCACATAAAGACAAGCAGATGCAGAAGTGAGACTATCTTCTTGGCCCAAAATATACTGTGAGACCAGGATTTCTTCTAGCAATGCAAAAATCTTTTGCCTCAGTGCAGTTTCATTTGCATCTCTGCAGGAGAACTAGTGATGAAAACCATTAGCACAAAGCATTTAGAAGATGTCAGCATGACCTATAGAAGAACCAACACTTCATATGTTAGTCCTATCATTCCTCTGTTGAAATGAAAGCATCTCCCAACTGGTGATGTACTGCTGTCACAATGTTTGAACCAAAGCCAGTCTCACCACCTCGCTCTTGCAGACAGCTGATTCTGATGTGTGCGAGAGTTCTTGCAAACACAGAAACATGGGAAAGTCACTTGAGTGTGCAGATGGAGGGAAATGGACCATGAGCTCCTTTGGGGGCTATGTGGGATGCACAGAGCTGGAACACTATTGCTGGGGGAAGCTGTAGTAAGTGGATGCGATGGGAGAGGTGGCCACAGCACGCTTGGCTGAGT